ATAATAGCAAATGGAGATAAATAGTTGACTTAAACGACTGCATAAGCTCATCAACCATATGTGCCTCGGCGAGTCCATCTAGTCAAAATGTAAACATCGCCGAGCGGCAAATTTCAGTCTCCGCGGTAAAACCAAAGTACAGGTGATATGACTATCAAAGAAGAACAAAAAGACGAAAGAGTGAAAAAAGAATAAATATCGGTTTCGATGAACCGTATCCCTGAGGTTGTTTTAGGCAAACGATAATTTCCCTTCTTTTAACCAATCTTTGGCTCTGAACCCAACTTTTAAAATAAGAACTGCATGAACAGACAAAGCAGCGTAATTTTGCTTGAATTATTTAGTTTATATTGAAGTCCATTCAGACAGGAATACGCTTCTTGCTTTATGTCTTGTACATCTTTTCGGGGAGTTAATTTCACTAACTTGTTAATTTATTTTCGTCACCAAAACTCCCATAAAGTTTCTTGAGTTTAACAAGATTTTCCGTTATAAAAAATTAAGCTTTTATACCTGGCTTCTTATCTTCTTCTGATTTTTTGACATGCCGCTGAATGCAAATGAGCGATCAGTTTCAAGAGGGACCAATGAACGTCTTTATCATCATAGTTTTTAAAAACATCAAACTGACAATCGACAAAGTTCACCTTTGTTATTCAACTAAGAACTTTTACTAAAAAGATATTTTTTTACTGTAAAGTTGACTTTCCTTAAGTTCTGATTAAAACGGTCAGTACGAAATTTATCCTTGATTGCGACTGATGAGCATTTTATAGTGCGGGGCCTAGCTAGCTACGGCGGCGCAACCTGATTAGCCCTTGGCGCTATGGAGAAGCAAATGAAGGGATTTTTAGGACCCTGGCGGTAATGTCCAATGGAAATAAAACAAATGCAGAGGTTTACAGCACAGTATGAGTACATCAAAAATCGGACAATCTCCGTGAAATATTAAAATCCACAAGACCATATCACTGTTTTGTCTGATGAATAGATAATATTATTTTTTCCATCAGAAACATTTGGGAAATTTTCATACAATTACACAAGAGCGAATTTCCGACACAGATGACTTTATTTCACAGATCTGACATTTTCTCGATTCTGACGGCCAAAGTGTAAAGGAAAAAGACATTTTTAAAATTCGTCCCCCATTATGCTTCATGAAAACTGGGTGTTATCTGAAGCCTGTAGTAAGAAGTGATTAAGTTCCGTCTGTCTTTATTTGAACATGTTCATATCTTTTCGTCTGTCTTTATTTAATTTGAATATGTTTATATTATATATGAAATCTTAATCAGAATTATAGGGGGGTAAAGTGTAAAAGAATCCGTGATCTCTTTCATCTCATTAACTAGTCATGATTTCTCGACAATTTTGTACTAAATAAGTGAGTCATTGGCAGCCCTTTCTCTTATTTCAATTAAGAAATATAAAACGAAACTACGTCCAAGGAAACCTCTGCGTGCCATCTTTTATGCGCCTGCCTCCGCGCCTGTCTTTGCTGACTGTAAGCCTCCGACAGGCGAGATTCATGAATAAATTGAGGGGGAGGGAAGACAAGGAAACTTGATATATTGAATGTTACTAATCGAAATAAAGAAAAGAGATCTGAAAGACGTCAACAAGCGGACTCTATTTGAACAGAATTGTTTACTCAGTAGCAAGAGAATATTAAATGTTTATATTCTGTTGTCAGTAGCTTTCCTCTTTCAGATATTTTTCCACCCACAATATACGATTGAGAGAATCAACTATTTGATAATTGCGTCAGGATGTCGCCAGCATATCGCGTCCTATTTTTGAATCTCCATGTAAGTGTTTGCTAATGTTTTACCAGTATGAGCACCTGTTTTAACAAACGAGGCCAAATGGAAAACGTTCTTATATTGTATTCTTACCAAAAGCAAGCAATATATGATGCACAGTATATGTTTCCTCACAAAACAAAGTTGGTGATTGAGCGTTCGGAACTTAGAAAATTTGGATTAATACATCTGGTATGATCGTATCTTCTATAAAGTGATTGATAAAATGATAAGTTTCTCCCTGTGTTCTGTATGGTATTTATAATATAATCCAAATGAAGATGATATTCTATATCCGACAGGAATTAAAACCCTTTCTAATGCACATGACTGTAAGATTTTATCAGATACTACTTGATTAATATATTTTATTCATAGTTGTTTCTAATGCAACGTTGACAGAATTCCTTAATGCATATCAACGGTTCACCCCTAGGAAAAAAATGTTTTTACGGCAACAGATTCGATTCTAAACCCTTAAGTGTGGATGTTCTTTGCTTTTCATAATGATGTATTTAATTTAGTTTCAGTTCAGTTTACAAACAATTCTTATTATATTCCAAAGCGGCTGCCATGATACATTGCATCTTTATTAGCCCTGGCAACTCACTCAGCAGCCGAGGAGATTCTTAAGACCTTGGCGATAATTTCCACTGAAAATAAAACAGATGCAGGGGTTCATAGCGCTATTTGTTCGACTCAGTAGCAGAGCAACTTGCTCTAATAACTGTTTGAATCCACAGGACATTGTAGCATTGTTTTCATTTTCATCTGCAAACATACGTACTAATGCAAAAATACTGAATGGAATCCAGCATACAGCGAACCCTAACACAATAGCAATGGAAAGCTTCAGCGCATTTCTCTCCCTTCTCAAGCGCTGAATTTGAGCGTTCATTGAGTGTTCGCCTGGTCCTCTCTGGGACTTCAGTTTCAAAAAAATCGCAAGATATAGAATAAACATCAGAACGAAGGGAATATAAAAAGATGTAATAAAAAGTGCCATAAAGTATTTTGTCACCGACGAGGAATCGTCAAAAACACGCATCCATTGCCGCACACACTTGTACTCATGATCATATTCGACCAGCTTGAACGCGACCAGATACGGGATGAATGTAGCCATGGCGATGATCCACGTGGCGAGAATAAAGAAGCGATACAATTTTGAACTGAAGAGCGGAGAACGGAGGGGAAATACCACAGCTACAAATCGATCCACTGCTATGAGCACAAGGCTCTGAATTGACACAGCAGAGGAGAGATCGGCTGAAAAAGGAGCGAGCTTACACAAAACCTCGCCAAGATGGCCTCTAATGGGCCAATCATCGTCATGTATCTCTACTACAGTTTTCGGGATCAAGAATATCGGGAACAGTAGGTCTGACATAGCCATGTTCACAATTAGATAGTTGATGGGTTTTCGCATGGTTTTTGTCTTGTAAACAATTATTCCAATAAAGGAATTTCCAACCACAGAAATAATAAATATTACGCAGTAAGCAATTGTGTGCCCAATCCTCAATGCTGTGGGATTATAGCAGTTCGACGGCTGAGTTGCATTCATTGTTGCGCTCAAGTTCGTGGACATTTCGTAGACGCGTTCTTCAGTCACCGTTAAAGTCAAGTATTATCTTATGGAAGTCACAAACACCTCTATTTGTATTACCGCTTGCTGTGGAAGTGATGTGAAAATTTGAATATTTCATTTTGATGATTCACACTGAAACCAATTATTTTAGGTCTTTATTTGGGTTTGTTGTCATAGATCACGAAATTTTGTTTGCATTTTCCAGTTAATAGCTGTTTTTAAAATTGCCGTCGGCAACTATGGTGGAGCCGGAAAGAAGGACAAATCTAGAAGAAAGTTTCACAATTTTCTACTTTATCACCCGCTAATTCGTTACCAGTCCACGGGACACTTTTAAGACAAAATAAAAGCGCTTTAGGGCCCGAAAAAACCGAGTTTTAAGTTTTTTGAAATTTTTCTTTTATGGGAATTGGTTTTTACACATAATAAGCTAAATATTTACGCCAAAAAAATTTCGTGTCATGGGCACTTTAACTCTAATTACCTAGAATTCTTTAACTCATTTCGGCAGGTGAAAAAAGAAATTATAAAAGGGATGTTTGAATTTTTAAATTGTTTGGGTTTGTTGTCATGGATCATGTCTTAAAGTGCCTGTGACGCGAAATTTTTTTTTTTGCATTTTCCGGTTAATAGCTGTTTTTAAAGTTAGAAATAATCGACCTTAGCGCCTAGCGAGTTCTTCTTGACCAATTTTTTGTGCATTGAAAGTACGATTTGGCGGCCAAAAAGTACCGCCATTAAGCGCGCGGCCAAAACGATCATATTACATAGCTGTGACGTAGAAAACTGTGAAGACACGTCGGCAACTATGGTGGAGCCGGAAAGTAGGAGAAATCTAGAAGAAAGTTTGACAGTTTTCTACGTTATCACCCGCTAATTCGTTACCAGTCCACGGGACACTTTTAAGACAAAATAAAACCACTGAGAGATTATCACTCATGAAGCATGATGAAGCACTCTTTACTTTAAGTGTTTGGGGTTAGCCTGTCAAAAGCTGCGTTCTAGCAAAACTCTCAGTAATGAAAGTCAATTTCAGAACATCAGCATAATCTATCAGGAAGGGATTGCAGTTTTCCGCCGACAATGAATTCTCATTTAAGTTCGTGGTTAAATCGACGTCGTGTATGTGCGTAAAACGAGGATCGCCGTATTTTTTCGAGTAAACGCCCTGGGCGCTTAATACATTTTTAGACTTTCAGAGTAACCGCTTATTCGAGGAGGACGCTTTTATGATTTTCTTCATTTTCAGCAAGTATTAAGTTTATTTCGCCACAAAATGATAAATAATAACAATACGCGAAGATGTACCATAGGCAATGAATTTCGAGATTGTAAGGAAATATTGAATAAGTTATACTCCTCTTAGAGGCTCTCGATCGGGTTCACTGTTAGGCATAAAACGGCCTAAAAGTTTAGCCGTTAGGCGGAAAAATTGGCAAATTTTAACCTTTAGTCGCAAAAACGCCAATTGTTGGGGCGTTTGAAGGAAACTAGCTTGCATGAGCAAACTGGACGGAAGGTACCAAGAATTGTGCTCACGGAAGCTTCTTCTTTAATCAATTACGCGTTGCCGCTACAACGTTTACAGTATTCCCTTTCTGATTAACTCCAACTCTAAAGCTTCTTCTTTAATTTATTACACGTTACCGCTACAACGTTTACAGTATTCCCTTTCTGATTAACTTCAGCTCTAAAGTTTTTCTTTAATTTATTACGCGTTGCCGCTGGCGTGTGTCTTAAGGAGATCCCACATTATCTCAACAACGTCTATTGTCACTTTGCCTGACCAGTTGAAAATACGTACGGGCTGTTTTTTTTCGGGTGCCAAGTCAAAAATTTCAGAAGCAATATAGCGAGGCTCTTCTAAAAGGGATTACGAACAGTTTCAACAAGTCAGAAAAAGATGGCCAGAGTTGTAAAATGTGGAAAGTTTACTGTCACTAAACAGTAAATCAGTTGATGGATGGGTTAGGCCGCACCAGCTACTTCGTTAGAGTAGTTATTAGGGAGCTTAAGCATCAACGGCAGACGCGGACGGCAGCCGCAAGTTAAAAGTTCTTATTTCTTGCGGTCGATGAATTAGCGTCAAATCGCGCCAGATTTAGTTCCATTCTTTCTCCTGTTGCCGCCCGTGTCTCAAAAACGTCTCTGCTCAAATTCTCTATAAATAGGGATAAAGAAACGGCGGGCATGTTCAGCCACATCAATGCGCGGATAAATCCAAACAGCATGCAGAAGGCTGGGGAGAAAACGATAACTAAGCAGCTTCGCCTGTAGGAAAACAACCGAAGAGATTCTTGAGACCTTGACGATAATTACCACTGAAGATAAAACAGATGCAAGGATTTACAGCACAGTACGAGCGCGCCAGAAGAAAGGCAATAGTTCCAAAGTATTGCATGCCACAAGATGACCATATAGCTATGTTTGATGAATAAAGGGACAGCAAGAGGCAGATGCTGAGTGGCAACCAGCATACGGCGAACACCAAGACAATGGCAACGGACATATTAAGAACATTTCTTTCTTTCTTCAAACGCCGTTCTCTTGCGTTAGCTGATTGTTCCCCAGGAATCTTCTGCGATTTAATTCTTAAGGCAATGGCAAAATAAAGTATGGCAATCAAAACCAAAGGGACATATCTGGTAACAACGATCAATCCCAGTATGTAGGTTTGCAACGATAGGGACTCTCCAAATGTGTCATTCCACTGCAACGAACAAACTAGCCCTTCTGAATACTCAAGAACTTTAAAGGCGATCAAATATGGGCAATGGACTGCCATGGCGACGATCCAAATGACGAGAATGAAGTACCGGCACTGCTTTGAACTGATCAGTGGGGAACGGAGAGGAAATACTACAGCTACAAATCGATCCACTGCGATCAACAACAGGCTCTGAATTGACACTAGAGTTGAGACATCTGCAGCGAAGTTACTCAGTTTACACGCCGCTTGGCCAAGGGGACCGCTAAGTAGCCAGTGGCCGGCCGTGTTTAACCTTACAAGAATTTGAGGAAAGAGGAAAATCGGGAACAACAGATCGGAGATTGCCATGTTTACAATCAAAATGTTGATTGGTGTTCTCAGAGTTTTCGTCCTATAGACAATTATTCCAATGAAGGTATTCGCAGCCAGCGACACAACAAATAGCAGACAGTAGGCGAAGGTTTCACCAATTCTTGTCGCTGTGGGGTTGAAGCAGCTCGACATGGACTGTGTTCCATTCACCATTGCTGTCACGTTTGCAGACATTTTTCGATACCAAGAGATCAGGTTTTTCTTCAGCCAACAGCCTTGCGGTGGGTACCTAAACTCGACTGGATGAAAACACAGCCTATCCATCTTATATAGATCAAACTTTCACATGTTTAATTAATGAACATACCTAGGAAAATTCTAGAAAATCGACAGTCTTCACCTGAGACCTCTAACTAAGAAAAGTATGGTTGGAATCAGCTGTTGTCCGAAATTAAGCAAACGATATGCTTTTTCAAATATTGTCGGCAAAAGGGACAATTTTCTCAAGTTTATAAGCAGGAGCCCATCTTATATGAGTTTATATAATCATTATCAATATTGTTCCAATGGCTCCAGAAATAGCCCAGCCGCAGATGTTTACTGATATAGAATAACGGTTGACAGCTGGTAGCGAAAAGATCTACAATCTTCTTTTCAATTCAGAATTTATTTTTAATTATGTTGCCATCGAAAGTTTAATCCAGCCTCGAACTTACTGATTAGTCTTGTTGCTTAGTAAACTTATTGGAGTATTAAAGAAAATTTTCACGAAGTTGTAACAAAAAGGAAGGGTACAGGACAATATAAGGCCGACTTCTTATGTGCGATAAAAAATGGTATGGCTTCATAAGTCTTCTTTTCAATTCAGAATTTATTTTTAATTATGTTGCCATCGAAAGTTTAATTAGCCTGAGCTTGTTGCTCAGTAGACTGGTTGGAGTTTTAAAGAAAACTTTCAGGAAGTTGTAATAAAAGGGAAGGAAACACCGGGACAAAGCCGATTTCCTATATGCGAGAAAAATGGTATGGTTTCATAATTCACCAGGAGAACTTGTAATAATTTAACAAATTTACATGACAGAATTCATATGGCTTACGATGTAAATTTTTCCTTTAATCTTGTTTCTGTATTCGAGCAAAGATGATATCTCCGTTGCTTTAACCGACTTAAACGATCGCATACACTCATTAACCTTCTGTGCTTCGGCGAGGCCATCTATTCAAATTGTAAACATCACTGAGCAACAAAATTCAGTCCCCGCCGTGAAACCAAAGTACAAGTGATATGACTATCAAAGAAGAACAAAAGGACAAAAGAGTAAAAAGGAATAAATATCGGTTTCGATGAACCGTATCCCTGAAGTTGTTTTAAGAAAAGGATAATTTTCCTTTCTTTAACCAAGCTTTGGCACTGAGTAGTTCTCGGGGGGCTACCTTTAGTCTCAATAAACAAAACAAAGCTGATTACTGACAAATAACTTTCATTTACTTTCTTTAGTCCAACTTCTTTTACTGAGTTGGATCTAGTTTTCCATGAGGAACAGATCCAAAAGATTTTTCCCATAGTAAAAACTCCTTTCTTACTCGCTTATTACCTTTTTTCCTGTCTTTATTTTGTATTTTGTTATTTTATAAAAGCTGTAAGCAAAGTTGAATCCGATTCTCTTTCCCTTAGTAACTGGATTTAAGCAGCTCGGTACCTGTGTTTCATTCATCGTTGCGGTCACATTTGCCGACATTCAGCCAACAGCTCTGAACGCTATCTTTTTTTTAGTGAACGCAGTGATGATTTACATAGATATTATTATTGTTCTAAATTGCATACGTTAGCTTCTCCAGAAATTCAAGAATATCGACAGATGTACGCTGAACCTTCATTTTCATTAGCAAAAGTATCTGCAACCGTAGTTACCTCAAATGAAATAGTTGGGAATGATCTCATTTGGATAATTGTACTTTGAATAGAAATATCATAGGGCTCAGGAACAGTTTTAGAAAGTTCCATTTTCTCAGTCTATTTTCATCTCTTGACGTGTATGTAAACAGCTGGTAATTACAACATTCAGTTTAAGTAAAGGAGAGACTTCCCTGAGAACTCGTTAGTTATCACATTTTTTATTTTGTGTCGTAAAAATTAGCTATAAAGAAGCGATACTACCTCGTGGAAAGAATCTGCCACAAAATAACATGCATGTCCTTATTTATAAACATCTTTGTCAATTGCAACAGTATATTCGGTGTAAAACTGTAAAGGTTTTTTGACGCTTTCAATACATATCATAAATTTGTGCTTCAGTAACTTGATGCTGATTTTTGTATTTGTTAATTGATCGCTTGTTTGCTTACTATTTGCGTAACAGACGATTGACGGATGTCAGTTTCCCACCCACAATGAGTCGTGAAAGACTTATATCAGCTAACAAAAAGCGAGGAATGTGTGTCAAGTTATGCGTATCTTTTCTTAGATTATCTTCCCTTCGTTTAAAAACCATTTCAAGCACACTCATTCAAACAATATGTTAACTTGCTTTTAATTGTAATAAAAGAGGATTTTAATTATATGTTTTCGGGTATAACAAGGCGGGGACGGGTTAGTGTTTTCGCGGACACAATGGTCATGAAAGAGCTGTGGTTATGTAATATGTTTTGTCTTCATTAACTGGAGGCTACGTGTGATCTATTCGATCTTATTTTCTATCTGATCCTTTTACCTCTTAGGAAAATTTCAACGACAGCGCTCTACAAAAACATGTTTACAAAATATGTACCTAGAATTATAAGTATCAAACTATCATTAAGCCATAATTATTCTAAATAGTAGCTTAAGCCGTCATGCAAATTTTCTTAAAAATTCTTTGAGCTGCTAGTTAGGTATATACATGAAGTCGTGCGGTCTGAAGTGACTTTTTTCTGAGGATTTTGAAGATGTTGGTTTATTTCAACTTCCTTGGCCGGTCATTTTGAATGAGCAAGTGCCAGAATACCAGTAGACAAGATATCTGTGTTTTTTTGTTTTTTTTTTTCCGGGGGCGATTGAGTTGTATCCCGACTTTTAAACTTCATCTCAAAGTAATTATTCGAAGGAGTTTCACTTCAAAGTAGTATTAATGGCCCATTTTTGTTATATATCAGCAGTAAGTCTGATATATAGAGAATAATACATGGGCGCGCGTAGATATGGAAGTTCTCTTCGAGCGTTGAAATCGATAGCTCGCGAGTGAGCGCAGCGAACGAGTGAGATGTGGAGTTGAACACATTAAGCTTATGGTTAATGGTATTATGTTCACGAAACTTCCCTTCAGCTGAGCGGATGATTTAAGTTTAGCGCTAATTGAAATAAAACTACGATTAGTGCTGGAAAAGATCAATCTTAGAAATTGAAGTTCCGTATTCTTCTTGACTAATGAGGTCACTGTTTTTTTCGTCTTATTTAACTACAAAAACAATGGCTGCAAAACAACCTTATGGTAAACTATCCCTGTCATAATAACTTAATTAATCTGTCTTTATCTTTAAACACCTTTGCATATTGCGAGACTACTTTTCGTGTAAACATTCCTTCTTGGGAATTTCCAGCTGTCAGCTTAATTAATAAGTCACTTTCTATTTAAAGAATTTCGAAATTCTTTTAACGGTGACGTATTAATCGACATAATTCGTCCATTTTTATCGCGTAAAGCCGCTCCATAAAAAATATCGTATTTCCTTTCTTTCGATTTAAAAAAAAATAATTGCGAATGGAAAATTAAAAAAATGAAATAAGCTGTCGGGGCTCAAACTACAAAAAACATTTGAGTCAACCACAAAGAAATCAGCTAAAGAGAGTCCTAAGGCCTTGACGACAATTTCCATTGAAAGCGAAACAGATAAGTAATGGTAATAGGACCGAGTGGAGTCCAATTCGGTCTGTAATCATACGAGTGATTAACTAAATCGAACGACTGCGAAGCGGAGTCCGATTTGTTAATCACGAGTATGATTACACACAGAATTGGATGACAAGAAGTGAAAACAACAATTTTAGAGAAATTTATTTACCCATAAAAGAGGAAAAACAAGTCATTTCTAAAGAAGTTAGTTCAGCGCAAGGCATGATCTGAATCTAAAGGCAAACATCAGTGAATAAAGCACGTGATAGAATGGCGAGCACCGAAATAGAATAATTTATTGATGTTAAATGACAGTTGACAGCTTGTCTCAGAATCATCACGTATGAGAAAGGAAGTTGTTGTAAAATAAAGAGGTTAAAGGCGTCGTTGACGGCAAATAGTATTGCAAAAGATGACTATGCAACGTTTTTCCGTCTGCTTTCACCTTTTGCACTTTGAAACGACAAAAATTCACACAAGCCTAGAACAAGATCAGTATTCTCCTCTAATTTTACTTAAGATATTTTGGAGGATTACAGCAAACATGATATCTCCGTTGCTTTAATCGACTGCATACACTCATCAACCTTCTGTGGTTCGGTGAGGCCAGCAATTCAAAATGTAAACATCGCCGAGCGACAAATTTCAGTCCCAGCGGTTAAACAAGGAAGAACAAAAGGACGAGAGAGTGAAAACGAATAAATATCGGTTTCGATAAACCGTATCCCTGAACTTGTTTAAGGCAAACGATAATTTTCTCCTTTTTTAACCAATCTTTGGCTCTGAACTCAAACTTTTAGTATAAGAATTGAACAGAATAAACAGCGAAATTTTGCTTGAATTAGTTAGTTTATATTGAAATCCATTCAGACAGAAATACGCTTCCTGCTTTAAGTCTTGTACATCTTTTCGGGGAGTTTATTTCACTAACTTGTTAATTTATTACGTCAGCAAACTTCCCTGTTGAAAGCACTCCGTTTACTGACTCTCCGAAGAAGTACAACCGAACCTATTCCCCTCGAGTGACGGCTGAATTCAGTTTCGACTATATTGCTGTTAGTTTCTAAAGGTGCTACGATGTTGATATACTTTTCAACTGGCTGTGTGAAAACTCTGTGCAAAGAAATGTAACTTCTCCTCCGTAGACATCAAGACATTACCTATATGTATATTTCATTTTTCCTCTTAAACACTGAACAGACAACTGGTAACAAAACAAAAACCCCTAAATACTGTTAAATAGTACCTCTTTTCTTTTCTTTCCTTTACATCATATTTTAATTCTTGGTGTGTTACATCTTAGTCGAAAGACTAAGCAGCTCAAGTATCGTCTTTAACATTTGTACCCAGAATAAACACATATGTCACAAAACAACTGTAAAAACAACGGTTTAACCGTTGCAGAAAGTTTCTTGAGTTCAACAAGATTTTCCGTTTTAAAAAATTAAGCTTTTATACCTGACTTCTTATCT